GAGCTACACAGGACCCATTTCCCAAGTCTCCCTCTCACAAGCCACCCTCAGCCAATGGCCACTTGAGGGTCTCCTTGGCTGTGCGGCTCCTGGAACGCGGCACCAAGTTATTCTACCACACAAGCCAGGCGTAAGGATGCCAGGGGTTCCCAGGAAAAAATGCTCAGCAACCATTCCCATGGTAAATTCCCCGGGAAGCCTTAAGGGTCGCAGTGCAATACAATAGAGATGGGCTTGTGGCATGGCTTTGTCTGCTCTCAGGGACAAGCCAGGAAAAGGCTCTTTCTGCAGTAGGTCTAACAGAGGAGCAGCTGCTCTGGAGATTCCACCCCAGAAAGAGCAAAGAGCCACCCTGGGGTCCACACAATGCCTTGAGTGGTGAGAACCACTGCAAGCTGCCAGTGGAGAACAAGGCTCCCTTGCTCCAAAAGCACCGCCTTGCGATAATGGAGAGAGGAGGCAGGAGGGCAGCACGGTGTCCTCCACTGTGCAAACCAAAAATGTTGAACACTGATTGAGAGGAGTCACAGCACCTGCCCCCGGCTGTATCATTGGAGAAGGCAGTTCTGCCATCTGCCATTCCACAAAGTTTGGGCATTGGTGCTTTGAATAGCTCAGGGGCACCTAGCGGTGCATGAGACACCTTGTAGCTCTCATTTCTGCTTCTGCAAAGGCGGGTTTAGAATGGCCAACCAAGATCCACTGCAAAAGCTGAGAATGTGTTTTTATTTGGGGGTTTGTTGACTGGAGGGCAAAAGGGGAGGGGGAGAGCAAGTGAGCATGAGAAAGCAGAGTTATTCAACTAAGAGCCTTTTGCTTGGATGACACACAGAAATGCAGGCACAGTCCCCAACTTGTCAAAAGGAATCATCTGTCTGAGACAGAAGGGCTGGAGGGAGGAGGTGCCCGCTACCTGGGCCCCTCTTTTTCTTATATTTGTGCAAATGGTTACAATTAACTCTCCATTGCCTTTAATCTCAGACCCCTTGCACAAGAGGCAAGAAAAGAGTAATTGTTTTATACATCAGCATGAACCCTCTGCTAAAAGTTTGCCAATACTTGGGAGGGAAAGAGAAGTGTACCAAACTGGAAGTGGTTGAGTTTGGAATCTGATCAAGAGGAGCTTCTCCCACCCCTGGAAAAAAATCATAATAAATAAAATGTTAGGGATTTTTCTGTTTAAATCGGATTCTTTTCCCTTTGCCAATTTTCTATTCATATTCTTTGGAAAGGAGTGCCTCTGTTCCTCCTCCTCCTCTGCCTCACCCCATCAACCATTTCATTGACACACAGGGAGAAACTTTCTGGACAATTTAATCTCGCCAGGGTGTTACTTAGCAAACCCCCTTTTCACTGTCAATTTTTTCCACCCGCTCTTCTCTCGCTCTCCCCCACCCTCCCCTCTATTTTCTCTCCAGTCTCAATTGAATTTTGCAGGCTGCTGATATCTCTCTCTTTTTTTTTTCTTTTTGGTAGAGACCCATGCTTTTTATGCAAATCAGGGCTTTTCATGCCCCTTTGCCTGGCTCAAACCCTACACAACTCAAATGTAACCAAAAGCTTGTATTCTCTCCTGCTAACTCCTTAGCAGAATTACACCTCCATTCTGTTCCAAAGGCCTAGGGTAGGGGAAGAAAAATATATCATTTTAAACCAATAGCACACGCTGTTTGTCTTGAATAATTACAGGGAGACTTAGATTCTAAAAGGGTTTGAAATATTCTGTGCTGAAGGGAAAAGAAGGAACTGGAGGGAGAGTTTTATGCCTACACAGCAGGTTTTATCGTCCATACTAGAGCTCTGTGTGTGCATACATACACACAGGCACACACACAAGATTTCTGCCAGCTCTTTCACTTTTCCCATTCGAACGCCATCATTTACATTTTCATCTAAGCAGGAACTTTGCCTGTGCCTTTGGACTGCTTTTGGAAACAGAAGAGAATGCAGCTGACATTTCCTTATCTCAAATTACAATTTCCTGCAAATATCAAGATAATAAGGGACACCATTGATCTGAAATCCAAAGCCCAAACTAGCCCACAATCTCACCTTGGCAGATTTGCTTGCAGAAGCAGGAAAGCGGGTTCAGAGAAGAGGCCATGAAAATAGGGCGTGAAGACCGACAGTAAGGCAGAGGAGCAGGAGGACAAGGTAGACGGGCAAAGCTGGCTGGGCCTCCTTGCCTGAATAGCTTTACTTCGGGCATTGTTCCCCTCCCTGCCTTGTCTCCTGGGGAGGGTTATGCATGGGAGGGGGGGATTCAGCAGAGGCACCCTGGAATATGTCAAAAGGATGGAGTGGGGGCACATACACAAAACCCAAGAAGCAGAGTGGGAATGTCAAGGACCCCTGACTAATGAATAGCAAGTTTGCCCTTGAACCTCACAGGCCTGGGCCATTCCCAGGACCCAGACAAGAGCTGAGGCATGCCAGAGCCCAGCTGTAGATGGTGTGGGCTAGGGCTCATCTCAGACACTTTGACACAGCAGGCTGTTCCCTCGCATAGCTCAGCCTTGCCTGTTGGCTCCCTAGCAACAGCTCAGGGCAGGAACCCCAGCCTTGCGTGCTGCGCACAGAAGCAAACACAGGGAGGAGGAGGTGGCGGCCACAGCGAGTCAGGCACCGGCACAGAGCGATGCTCTGCAAACTCATCGCACTCTGGGCCGCACCTGTTGCTGGAAAATCTGAAAGCAGGCACCGACGGAAGGCGAGGAAAGGTGGCTTGGAGGGAAGAGGGCAGGGTATGACTGGCATGGAGGTAAGGTAGGTGGTGTGCTTGGCAACTTGATCTACATTTAAAGATGCCAGTCCTCATGCCCTGTTTGGAATAACTAGTTCGTTGTTATACAGAATGAAACAGGTTTCAGCGTTCTGAATCTCTATTTCTAACAGTTGCTACTCCCATTTTCTGCTGCCAGACACCAAGTCCATGATAAACAAGTGATGTCTATGTACGCATGATTAGATGCCTCCACAAGTAACAGCACTATGAGCTGCTGCAAGCAAAACCTGCCAGCTCAACAGAACCTCCATGTTCAGAAGCAGTTTACCTTTGAACAGCATAGAGGCCAAAGAAAAAGTTTGTGCTTGTATCTTGGGTGATGAGAGCTTCCTAGAAGCATATGCATGGTTGGTATTCTACACTGGAAAAGAAAGGCCTTCATCTCATCGAATTAAAATATTCTTATTTCTTTACTTCATCCAAACTTAAGAAGCTAAACTTGGCTTCTTCACAGACTATTTGTGTTCAAACAGAGGTGGGCCAAATCTGTCAGTTGTGTTTTCTACCACATTCAGATGTTTAAGTCTCAATTTCTTTTTGACCCCTATATAAAGAAAGATGAACATTTGGGGAAATGCTTATTAAAGTCAATCACAAATGAAATGTTTCATGCATCTGCATAGGCCAAATTCAGTAGGTACTGGTAGTCTCACCGTGAAGAGGACCATGCTGTGCCTGACTGTGCTGACAACTCTGAACGTTCACCACAGACACTGCTGAAGATGCAGGAACTCCAAGGCAGATTTTTTAAGAGCAAAACACTCACCGCCCTGGACCTGGAAGGATGGATCTGTCCACCTTTTTTTTCAGTCTGTGTTCCTTCTGTCCAAAATATGAAGAAATTTGCCAAGTTTGGTAAATTAGGATCAAAACAAACTACAACCAAATCATACCCACCCCCTGCTCATGTAATGAGGGAGAAGAATCAATTTTTACATTGTTCACTGTTCTGAGAGCTGTTGCTAATTGAATGGTTTATAAAAGCCATAAATAATAAATAAATAAGATTAAGGCTGGAAGGAGACCTTTGAGCCAGAAGAGGGAATGGATTGCAACCTCAGCTTGTACTGTGAAATACTGCTGCTTTAAAAGCTGCTGTTTTGTTCTGGAGCTTGTGTTTCTCGTTTTATTTTATTCTATGCTGATTTTATACCAACCATCTGGGGTTCTTTTGTGGTATAGGAAGGAATACCATCACTATATTAATAATATTATTAGTCGACAGCAAATGATCACAAATCACACAGAGAGCTTTGGCCACATAGATGTTAAATCAAATAAATAAATAAATAGATAAAAATATTCTGAGATGCCGAGATGCCATTCATAGAAATGAAGTGCCACTAATTTGTAATGCCTCTATTTGTGGCACTGCCAGAATGGACTTTGCTGAAGAAAGAGCAAGGGAGGATGACCCCAGTGGAATTGGTCCTGATCCTCCACCCAGTCCTTTGCAAGTTTTGCATGCCACCTCAAAGCAGAGTAAGCCCACCACCTCCCTTACCTACTGCTGCCATAGCCATTCTCTTGATGCAAATCTGCTGGCCAAATTCTAGTTTCAAGATTAGAAGCTCTAATTGGCAGCAAGGATCCTGCACGGTGGCATTACGACACAGTGGAAGCATGCAATGGCAGCTCTGTGTCTCTTAGAACATCACAAAACCAGCACTTTGTCACTTTCATTTTTTTAGAAAGTAAAAAAAAAATCACTGCACTAAATCAACATTCACCACCTTATGACAAGATGATTGTGTGAATTGTACTCTTTGTGTCACATCCGCTTTATTTTCATGCTTCAGTTTTACATTTACATTTCATTTACAAAATGCAAACTTTAAAAAAAAACATTGGAAAAGCAGTCTTCTCGCCTGATGTCCCTTCAGGTGTTTGGCTACAGCTCTCATCATCCCCAGCCAAAGTAGGATTGCGGGCAAACACCGCTGGAGCGCACCGAGTTGAGATGCTGCCACAGCAGCCACTCCGCTTTGCTGAGGTGTCAAGAGGACGGAAGCGGAGGGCGTGAGGGTGAAGAGATCTGCAGAGCACTTCTGTCTTCAGACCACTGGCAGCAACAAATGGCTCGTGTCAGCATGTGAAGAAAAGACAGTCCAGGAAAAGCCTCACTCGGCTGCTCACTTCAGTGGATATGGTTGCAAGCCTGAATCGTAGCCAGTCTAGTGTCAGAGTGCCGAGGCTGAGGCTCTGGAAATGCCCAGTTCTAGTCCCCAGTTGGCCAGGAAGTTCCCTGGGAGACTCTGGCCAGCCACTGATTCTCAGGCTAAAGGAGGAGGCCTGTCTATGCCATCCTGGTATATTTGTAAGAATGAAAATGGCAGGATATGTACGGTAATAAATATGATTGACAATTTATTATCCAAGGCTTGGATATTAGATGGTCAGCAAGATGCAGCAGCATGCAAAGGAAGTAAAATAATTTAAAGCCAGCACCCACTTAGATTTATTAGACACCAGCAGAGGAAACATGTTTAACATGCATATAACAAGTAGGACCTCGCACAACATGTTCAGGATTCCAGCTAGTCAGCCAGCATGCCAGCCAGGTCCCTTTCCAGAATACTCCATTCTATTTCCCCTCCCCTGGACTTTCATTCTTCCAAGGGACACCCTACATTCTGGGGCAACCAGGCATGCTCACTCTTCACTCTGTTGTTTCACAGTTTCCGCCCTTAGTTCCCTCCCCGCACCCTGTTCCTCTTTCTTTTAATACTTCCGCAAACCTTAAAGTCCACCCCACCCACCTTGCTGATACTTCTCTGTGCATGGCTAGTGCCATTTTTACTATGTAAGGATCTGGGTATTTATTTATTTTATTTATTTATTATTAAAACATAAGTAGCTTCCATTACTTGAAGATCCACATTTAAAGACACGGGTCCTCATGCCTCTTTGAATGTTCTATTATTGTATAAACATTATTTTCAGTATAAATGTATTGATAGGGTATCAACAAGGTTATTGTTGTTGTTGTTGTTATTATTATTATTAGAACATTTCTATGCCGCCCCTTGCCCAAGCCTTCTGTTATGCACTAACAGAAACTGCCACACCACATGTTTGTCCATAGTTACTGCTTGGTGTGTCTTATTTCCATGACTGGGGCTGCAGCATTGAAAAAGTTGACCCTTTATTTCCCTGCTTTTCCTCCTCTCTCTCTGCAGAGAATCCTGGGAACTGTAGTTCTCTCAGGAGGGGCATGATCTCAGACAGAATTCTCAGCATCCTAGCCAGGTAGCCATGCTTAATTCTTTAGCAGAAAGCAAAGACAGATAAACTCTTATAAAGAAAAGGATGAAAATTTGCAGAATATTCTCCCTGCCTTCTCATAAATGATACTATGATACTTCTAACTCTCACCCTAATTCTTTATTCCTAAGAATGAAGCTGTACAACACCAAGTGGGTAAGATATTCCCATCATGCCATTCCCTCAACTGTCACCACCGGCAGCCATCTTCCAGCAGGCCGCAGCAGGGAAAGAGGAGATCAGAAGCAAAGCCATTCCACTGGCCCTCTTGAAAAGCCACCTGCTTTCTTCCTTTTCCCTCATTACCATTTTACCTTTACTTTAATTGGCTGTGACTTTTTATGTTGTAACCCAGCAGGCAGGGGCTGTCTTGTCTTTATTGATTGTACAGAAGTTGCTCAGAGAATCTTTTTGTCTGAGGAGTAGAATACAAATAGGTGAAGCAAACATTTTCCCTCCTGGCATGTGGACCTGGCCTGGCCTTCTCCATTCTGACTGGCAGTGAGTCTCAGACTGAGAAAGGCCCTTTCCCAGGCCAGGCTGACATGGTCTTCCTCTCCAGCCAGGTACCTGAAGCCTGTGATCTGATCCTCCTGTTGTAGAACTGCATCTCCTATCATCCCCAGCTAATTGTCATACTGACTGGGATTTAAGGTAATGACCTATAAGGACTGTGGCCCATCAGCTGCCCATCAGCAACAGTCCCTGCAGCATGTCGGCACATGGATCATCATTTCTTACATTATGGTGAGACATGCTGCATCCCACCCTGTTCCTGACAAAGAACCCCCAGAGCTGCTGTTGATGCACAGGATGCCACCTCTGGAACTGGCAGCGGCATAGCGCTTCATGGCCAGAAGTCCTCATCAGACCCCCATGGACTTGTCCAATCCCCCTTCAAGCCACACAAGCCAGTACACTACACATCCCATGCCAGCCAACACTGCATGTTAGCTTTCCACAGTTTCAAGGGCGTTCCGTGCAAGGTTGTGGATGACAAGCCAAGGTCAGGCCCTTAATTACTGTGCTAGCCAGCTCTAACAGGGTCATTGTGAAGCTACAAGGCTATGTAGGCTTCTCTGGGATAGGACAGCAAGAAAAGCAAAAGAGAACCCAGTGAAACACCACACCCAGTGAGTGCAGCAAAATGTCTGGAGCTGCATTCTGGCTAATCCCAAGGGAGCACTGCAGGCACAGCCTTCCATCTGCATATCTCTTCCTTGCAAAAATGGGCAAAGGAGTCTTCCCTCCCTTGCCTCCCTCCTTTTTTCCGCCTTGTAAGCAAAGTCCTCATAAGGTTCCCATCCCCACTCCCATTCTCATCCTGCGCTCATGTTCCCACAAGCAACGAGATGCAAAGCCACGCTTGGAATCTGATTCCCCGGCTTTAAGCTCTGCTCTGCCAGCAAAGTGCAACTTGAAAGCTCCCCTGTCACAGTTACAAAAGCTCAGAACAGCCCTTCCTTGGATAATCATGCTTATTGCCAGATTAAGAGAGAGAGCATGTAGCAGCTGATGCTAGCCACATGGGCTGGGCTGGGGCAAATCTCTTTTAAACAATCCCCCATACAGCTCTGCACACACACTCACACACCTCGTTCCCACTTGACCGTCTAACTTGGGAAGCGCAAGCAAACAAAAGAGAAGAATCGGATCTGCTGGAGGGAAAGAGAGACTTCAGTTGGAGTTAAACATTGCTAGTTCGTTTTTTTCAGAGCTGGACATGGACTCAGTTTGCTAAGCAGCCCAAGGTTTACTCCAGGAATGAGTTTCTCTCGACTTCCCCCATTTTCTCCTCACCAATAAGGTAAATTAAGTGGGGCAGGGAGCAATTTACCCAAGCTCACTCTCCAACTGGTTCACAGTTCTGTAGGAATTTGGTGTTAGATCTTTGCCGTTCTTAGCAGATATTCTAAGCCCAGATTTCTTCAGATTGGCATTGGATCACAACCGGTGTTGGATTACAATCATCCCTAGTCAGCCTGCTCAATGAAGCTAATGAAGGAAGGTACAGGGCAGAAGACATTCTTCACTCAGGTCAACAGTTAAACTAGATAATCCGCTGCCACGAGATAGTGATGGCCACCAAGTTAACTTGTAAAGGGAATCAGGCAGATGCATGGGGAAGGTGGCTCTCAATGGTGGCTTGTTATGATGGCTGCATGCTACCTTCAGGATTGGAGGCAGCGTGTCAGTGTGCTCCAGTTGCTAGGGAACATGACTGTGAAGGTATTGTTGTGCTTGTGTCCTGTTTGTGGTCTTTCTACAGGGGCATCTGTGTTGGCTGGTATGTGAACGGAATGCTGGATTTGGTTGGCATTTGGTTTGATCCAGCACAATTCTTTTTATCCTTTTAATACATTTATTTTTCAAGTATATATAATAAGATGGGCTAGCTGAGGTTGTGACTGAGGTGGCATGTGAACTGTGAGGACAACACACAGGTCTCCTCTTTGCTCTTTCTCAAACACATACACCCTACAGACAAAATAAAATGCTCCATTTCAATGCCTGTAAAACACAGTGGTTTTGTTTGTTTTGCAATATAAATTTGAAAATAACTGAAAGCAGGCCTTGCTATAAATCAGCCCCCTACCCCTGAATCTCCAATTTCACCACACACACTTCACCCTTCCTAAACTGGGAAGCAGAATAGCATCCCAGGAGAAAAGGGGAAATGGCTTGGAGGAGACAACTGATGATAAAGGATGAAGTGTGCACACGCCAAATCCCCAATGGGGAAAAGATCTAGGATATACTCCTTAAGTTATGCTTCCTAACTGCTTATTCTATCATATGGTGGTACAGCTCATTTGACGACGTGACATCGAGGATGCCAAGAAGCCTTGGCAGAGAGAACATATTTCCAGGCATGGATTCATTAAGCAGGTTTGCTCACATGGAAAGGGGAGAGGGGATTCTATCTGTCTCCATTAAAAAGTCCTCAAACCAGCAAGAGTGCGCCTTTCTTTTGACAAAACCAATTTTTGCTTGAGTTTCACTGCCAGGAGTGTGATTAGATTTGAGATGAGAAGGAAATACTGCTCAAGCAAGAAAGATATAGAAAGGGCACTTTGGATTCAAAGAAAATGGGCTGGGATGTATCACCTTTCAAGTGCTGTTGGACACTCTGTGTCAGTTACTTACCCTAAAAGGGTTAAGCAGCTGGCTCGAGTGCTGTGAAGCAATCCAGACAGTCCAACTGGTACCAAAAGTAACAGAGGGGATGCTTGAAAGAGTCAGCCTTTGGATCTTCTTACATATGTTCTGCATTATCTATAGTGGCTGCCTGTTTGTTTCAGGCAAGTTGGTTTATGGCAATTGTATTTATTCAGCTTGGCACAATTGTATCACCTTTTTCCTCCAAAGAGCCATTTAACCATTTGTTCCTCACAACAACCCTTGGAGGTAGGCAGGGCTGAGAGGCAGGGCCTCAGGGACACCCCCGAGCATCATGGTCAAGTGGGGACTTGAACCCAGTACCACAACCCTAACAGCTACAGCACATGTGTTCTCCAGTAATAGCCTCCAAGGTCTGAGCCAAGTCTGTTTCTGATCAGGTTATCTGAATTATCCCCATCATCCATGTGAGCCTGCCCAAGCTTTAGCATCACCATCCCGAGTCCGTGCTATGAGTCCCAACAGTGAGAATTGTAAAATCAGGATGTTCTATGGACAGGGCTTTTTCTGTGGTGGCCCCACCTCATTGGAGTGCTCTTTCCCATGAAGGGGGGACGCCCCCTTTGCTGAACTTCAAAAGAATGTTAGTTACGCTAGCAATTTATTGTACTGTACTTGTAGCTAAGGTTTTGTCTTCTGCTACCACTTCTAATTTATTTGTTAAGTCTTAGGTGTATCGTATTTAGGGCTTAATTAAAAATACAAATTACAGAACCAGTTTTAAAACCAATAACAAACCTAAAGCAAAAGACTTAGGTGTACTTTCATATTATCTAAGATGTGTTCGATACAGAGTGAACAGAGTGCAGATTGACAATGAGGCTGTCGAAACAGTCAACTTCCTGGCATCCAAAATTGACCAACAAGGTGACCATAGACCTGAGATCAGAAGGTGCATAGCACTTGGAAGAAATGCAATGTCCGGCATGAATAACATTTGGAAGAGTAAAGATAACAGCTTGCCTCCCAAATGCATATTAGTCAACGCAATAATTTTTCCAATTGCTACATATGAGTGTGAAACTTGGACTCTGAAAAAGGCAGATAGAAGAAGGGTGGATGCTTTTGAATTGTGGTGCTGGGGACAACTCTTGAACATCCCATGGATTGCAAACATCAGAAAGAAGTCCTAGACCAAGCCTCACCAAAATTACCACTTGAAACAAAGACCGTCATACTTTGGCCATGTCATGAGAGCCGACTCACTTGAAAAGTCAACCATGCTGGGAGCGATCCGTAGAAAAAGGAGAAGGGGTCGCCCCAGCACCCACTGGCTGGACACCATAAAGAAAGGCACTGGGATGGACATGGTGGCTCTGTGGGAAGCAGTGCGAGACAGAGGGACACGGAGAGCAACGATCCATACAGTGGCCAAGGCTCAGACTCGACTGAATGGCTGACGACGGCAACGTTATTTAAACATGTGAACTGGATTTATGTTGGTGTGTTTGCTGACAGACTGTTGTGAATAATCTCAGGTGGCCAGCTCACACCTGCAGGTCAACACTTGACTCCACAAGCCAATGAAAAATGAATGTGTACCCAACTGAACTGACTTTCCACACTACATTAGGGAACTAACATGGAGTATCGTTTGAATATTCAGTATGCACATGAGCATGCAGAACTGGCACTGGTATCCAGCACTGCATTGACTGGCTGGGCCTGGGAACTGGGAGGAGAAGGATGGCTTAGGAGGGCCCCGACATAGGATGGGGCCAACAAAAGGCCCTTTGCCAACCTGTCACCCTCAACTGGAACATGCTCATACCTCCTTTTCGCATGGGGTGGTGGCCATTTTGGCCAAAGAAGCCTTAGCACTCAGATAATCTAGTTCATTAGAAAGAGAAAAAGTGAGTCAGAAGGGGCCTCTGGGCCACCTCGGCTCCAGCCAGCTCAGCTCATGTAATCCCCAAGATTCAGGTGGCCTTTTCCTCACTCTTGCTTGTCCATGGACATGGGCCAACCAGGGAGAGGAGAGGAGGGTCACTGAGATGAATGCCTGGCCCAGGGTTGGTGTTGGAGGGAACGCATTGGGTTCCTTGACCACAGCAACTGGCTCCCCACCAATGGTCTTCTGGTGAGGGATGGGGTGCACCTCATCAGGAGTGGGGGAGGAAATTTTGGGAATACTCCAGCAGGGTTTGTCTGGAGAGCATTAAACTGATGATGGGGGGTGGGGGGAATCAGGGCCCTCAGAAACCAGTCATGAAACCAATCATGATTGAACTGGCAAAGGAGCAGGCGCAGGGTCTCAGGGGCAGGGTGATGTAGGGACTGCAAGGGCTGGCTTGACTGCTGCACCGAGGGCTCCTGCTGTGCCAGGGAGGCTGGGAAGAGGAAGATCAGAGGCACCAGGAAATGGGATTCATGGGAACGAGCTGAGATGTATGTACACCGATGCTAGGAGCATGGGGAACAAGCAGGAAGAGTGTGAGGCTCTCCTGGACGTAGCCGGGTATGACCTGATGGGCATTATGGAAACATGGTGGAATGAAAAGCAGGTTTGGAATGTTAACATAGAAGGGTAGTCTCTGTTTGGCGAGGGTACTCTCATGTCTGTTGGCCTACATTTCTGAGGCCTTGTGGAAAATGGGAGAAGTTCCAGAGGATTGTAGGGTGGCATCAGTGGTTTCAATCTTCAAAAGGGTAGCAGAGGAGATATGGGGAATTACAGGCCAGTTAGCCTTACATTCATTTCGGAAAGATGATGGAAATGCTCATAAGAGGGAAAGTTCTAGAAACCCTAGATGAGAACGGGAGTCTGGCAAGCACGCAGCATGGATTATGCAAAAACAGATCCTGCCAGACGAACCTTGAGGAATTCTATGACAAGGTCTTACGGTGGGACGCTTGATGAAGGGGACGCGGTAGATGTGGTTTACCTGATCTCAGCAAGGCCTTTGACAAAATGCCACATGATATCCTGGTTGAGAAATTGATGAGTTTTGGGCTAGACTGATGCACTGTCCAATGGATTAGGGCATGGTTGACAGACTGCAAGCAGAAGGTGACCATCAGTGGGGAATCATCAGGATGGCAGCTGGTGACGAGTGGAGCCCCCCAGGGCTCAGCTCTGGGACTGATTCTGTTCAACCTTTTTATCAATGACATGGAGGAGGGAATGCTGACTAAATTCATGGATGACACCAAAGTAGGGGCAGTAGCCACAACTGAGGAGCAGGTGATCCAGATCCAGAAAGAACTGGACAAGCTGTGGAAGTCCATTGTCATTCCATAACAGGAACATGTTTCCCTAGGAATGGCGAATATTTGCTGTTGTTGGACTGCAGATCCCACTGTCTCTCTAAGCTATGATGGCTAAGGGTGATGGAAGTTGCAGTCCAACAACTTCCCCACCTCTTATATATAGGATTGCCTTTGTCCACTGCTGGTTTACGCAACAGAGAAAAAGCACATTCGGATCAGAACCAGTTCATTTGCAGGGGTTGGGATTCACCTGCCCTCCTTCAGAAGGAGCCCATACAAACATGAGCATGTGCCTCTGCCTGCAGAACTGGCTGGCTGGCTCCAGGTGGACGATGGGTGGACATGTGATAGCATGAGCAGGGGGCGCAAATGAGCTGGACCTCAAAAGGCCACCAGCAGAACAGTGGCCAGCACCCCTTCTCACAATGAAATTTCTCAGTCTCACTCCTTGTGTGTGTGTGAGCACGCAGGAGAGCGCGAGTGAAAAAGAGATCCATTCTTTCCTGCTCTCGACAACAACACAACCCTAATGCAAAGGACTTGGCCCACTTGTCCCAGGCACTGCAGACCCCCAAACCTGCACTGCTACGCACCCAAGGTTTGACTCTTCATCTCCACCACCTCACCAGTGATTTAGCCGATGGCTTACTAAGCCACATGAAGGAATCAATTAGTCTCCTTTGCAGGTCGGTAGACCTACCTTCTTTTTGCCTTGGTACATAATATGTAGGAGGGGGAGCTAGAAAGCCCTCTGTGCATGTGACATGTCTGAACGCTTCTTCCCATGAAAACAAACATACCGGCAAGCTCTTCCCATAGAACTAACCTGCAATTTAAAGAGGAAGACCCACATCTTTTATGTTAATGGATTGCAAGCAAGAAGCTTCTCATAGAAGAATGTTTCAGTATATGACTATGCACCCCTTTGTACTCTAGCTGTTTCTCCTGTATGAAGTGCAGAGTGGCTCAGAGACGACCCTTTCTCTGAAAAGCAGGGTTATTCTCAGAAATAGCAGAAAACCAGGACAGTGGCCTGTCTGGTTCAGTCTCACATAGTTGAACACACCAAGAAGAAAACAGTGGACCTTGTACTTAGAAAGTAAGCATGATAAGATGAAGAAAATACCAGATCCCACCTGTCTCACGTATCTTTTCCTATGCTCATAAATCTTACTTATTTTTCTGTAGAGAAACATGGTATCACTGGGTCCTCGTTTGCTGCAGAAATGGTACATCTCTAAATATTACTTATTTTTCTGTAGAGGAACATGATATCACTGGGTCCTTGTTCGCCGCAGAAATGGTACATCTCAGAAACCCCTCATCTGTCATTAGCAAGAGACAGCCTATCACAAGTGCCCATCCTCCTTCCACAAAGGAAACAGCCTTACCTAAACTTATCAGATATGCTGAGTTTATAGTTCCCACCATCCTCAGCAAGCATGGGAAGCCATTTCAGGAAGGCTGCCATAAACACCTGAAATTCCACTGAAATTCCACTGAGAGTTCTCTCCTGTTATATAATTTGTTCTAGCTACAGCACACCTACTCTTTTCTTTAATCCCTCATCATGCCTGATTATCTGGAAAGTTATATACCGTATTTTTCGCTCTATAAGACGCACCTGACCATAAGACGCACCTAGTTTTTAGAGGAGGGATCCATGGAAAGCTTCCTGATAATCACAGGCACATTCCCCATCACTTCCCCATGGGCTTCATTAAAAGACGGGTTGCCATTTGAAAACACACACCGACCTGTGACTAACAGCT